ATGAGGCTTTCTGTTCCCATAAAGATTTACAGCCTTGGAAACCCTGTACAGGGTCGCTATGAGTTGGAACCGACTCCAGGGCACATAACAACAACAACAACAACAACAACAACAGTAAATGAAAGCTAGATATTTCAATATATTTCCCCACAGAAAGACTCCAAAATTACTATCGATGTAGCTGAAACAGTTTTTATCTCTAACAATTTTTTTCCCATAACTAAATTTTTCTATTGCAATAATGGCATATGAACAATGTTACAGACATAGACCAAATTAAAATATTCATAGAAGCCTGATTTACAAACTAACTTTTATGACACCAAATATTACATTGAGACTGCTATTATTTATAATATAAATAATAAACTTTACCTTCTAAAGAAGTGTCTAAAAGACTGGCATGCTTTGTTTTCACATGAGTTTCCATATCTTGACTACAAATTTCTATTTTCCCACAGAATGGGCATTCAAGAGGACTGCACAAAGTTTCATAAATTGATCCTTTTATTTTGGTTAGATCAGATGGTTTTTCCCCACTCTTCAGAAATGTTGTAGATTCAGTTAAGTCCTCTGAACAAAAGGCTTTGGGTTTTAAAGCACCACCCTTAGGCAGGCTTTGAACTGAACTTTTCAGATGGTTAGGTGCACAAGCTGAATGAAGACTTGAATTAACTTCCATTTTGCATTGTAGGGGATTGTCCTTTTTGTTATCTGAAGTTCCATACTGCGTAGTGTTGATCCTCTCAAAAGTTCTTTCGAGTTCATTCTGCTCAAAATGAGCAGTTTCAATATGAAAACACATTTCATCATAATTGACTCCTGACAACTTGCAAAATGGACAGATTACTTCACTTTCCATATGGACAATTAGGTGAGCCTTCATGTCTGGTTCTGAGGTTACAGTTTCACCACAAATATCACAGGAAAACATGATGTCCACGACAGCTAGAAAAGAACATAGTACTAAGTCTCAAAATAAGAGTGAAGAAAAATAAAATATATCTTATAAAATGATTGAGGACAATGATTCTTAGTGTTCAACTTTGGATTACTCAAGTAAAGGATTACTTGCTATTCTTCAAATCTACAAGACTATAAATCTCAGCTAAAATTTTACTATTCTTTTTTAACTTTGTTTCAATAAAACAAAGGTACTAATAATGCAAACTTTAGTAAGTAATTTTAAAATAAAATTATTCGAAAAACATGCTAGTCTAAGGTAGAATGAGAGATATCATTACTGTCCAATGGATCTTGGCTGAAAGCAGAGAATATCAGAAAGATGTTTACCTGTGCTTTATTGACTACGCAAAGGCTTTCGATTGTGTGGATCATGACAAGTTATGGACAACATTGCGAAGTATGAGTATTCCAGAACACTTAATTATACTCATGAGGAATCTGTACCTGGACCAAGAAGCAGGTGTTCGAACAGAGCATGGGAACACTGAATATTTTAAAATTAAGAAAGTTGTGCGACAAGGTTGTATTCTTTCACTATACTTACTCAACCTGTATGCTGAGCAGATAATCCGAGAAGCTGGGTTCTATGAAGAAAAACGTGGCATCAGGATTGGAGGAAAACTCATTCATACAACCTGCAATTGGCAGATAATACAATCTTGCTTGCTCAAAGTGAAGAGGACTTAAAAACATTTACTGATGAAGATCAAAGAGCACAGCCTTCAGTATGGATTACATCTCAATGTCAAGAAAACAAAAATCCTCACCACTGGATCAATAAACAATATTCTTATCAATGGATAAAAGATTGAAGTTGTCAAGAACTTCATTCTTCGTGGACCAACTATCAACACTCACCGAAGCAGCACTCAAGAGATCAGATGACGTATTGCATTAGGCAAATCTGCTGTACAAGAACTTTTTAAAGTGTTGAAGAGCAAAGATGTCAGCTTGAAGACTAAGGTGCGCCTGACCCAAATCATGGTATTTTCAATCACCTCATATGCATGTGAAAGCTGGACAGTGAATAAGGAAGACCGTAAAATAACTGATGCCTTTGAATTATGGTGTTGGAGGAGAATACTAAAAATGCCATGGGCTGCCAAAAAAACCAATAGATCTGTTTTGGAAGAAGTGCAGCCAGAGTGCTCCTTAGAGGCCAAGATGACCAAACTTCATCTTTCATACTTTGGACATATTGTCAGGAGGGACCAGTCGCTAGAGAAGGATATTATGCTTGGTAAGATGGAGGGTCAGAGAAAAAGAGGAAGACCCCCAACAAGATGGGTTGGCCAGGTGGCAGTATTGATGGACTCAAGTGTAGCAACAGTAGTGACGTTGGCCCAGGTTGGGCATTGTTTCGTTCTGCTGTGCATAAGGATGCTATCAGTGAGTGCCGACTCGATGGCACCTAACAACAACAACAACAAGGTGGAAATAAATAACATTTTTAAAATTGCCCAGGTAAGATAGGTTAGAGAAAATGTAGAGATTTATTTATCAACTCATGTATCAAAATATAGACTCTTGATGATGATCATAATGGAAGTGTAAGTAAACACATCTTAATAACAGGAGTTAACGGTCACAGAGCTAGACCAATCCCTAGAAAAAGACCGGATGTTTAGTAAACTTGAGGGTTAGCTCAAAATAGGGAAAGCCTCAATGGCATAGACCAACACAGTAGCTACTATAGGTTTAAACACATCAAACATCATGAGGATGGTGCAGGACTCGGGAATGTTTCCTTCTGTATAATGCAGAAGGTCCCATAAGGAGGGGCTGATTTCAAGCCAACAGTATCATTCCATATAGGAGGAAGCCCTTTCTCAAGAGAGGTCACCACAGCTAGAAAATCTTTAAAGCCAAAATATTAATGATACTGGCTCCAGAGTCTGTGTACTCAACCCAAACAACAAGAGTAGAGTAATAAGGTAGAAGAAGCCCTTGTGGTGCAGTGGGTAAGCGCTCAGCTGTTAACATGTACAAGCTGCTCAGAGAGAGACCAAGATTTGGCAATCTGATTCCATAAACTTTACAGCTTTGAAAATCTTACTCTGTCCTATTGTTGCTGTTAGTGCTATTAAGTCGGTTTTTAGGGTTTCCAAGCAGCGGCCAGTGGGTTTGAACAACCAACCTGGCAGTTAGCAGTCCAGTATTTACCCTACCAAGTGCCACACCAAGAGCACACACTAGTGGCAAAGGGTTTGGTTTGGCATAGTAGTTTAAAGCTCATTGACCCAAATCATAATCTCAGATTTCATAATTTTAGGTAATACATCTCACCTCTTTGAGGTCTGGTTTGTAAAATGAACTGTACTAGATTAGTAGTCACTTTCCGATTTTATGGACTAATAAAATACTAACTACAGTGTGGTGGTTACAAGTCAGGCTAGTAACCTCAAGATCAGCAGTTGAAAACTACCAGCTGGTCTGCAGGAGAAAGATGAGGCTTTCTGCTCCCATAAAGATTTATAGCCTAGGAAGCCCTGTACAGGGTTGTTATGAGTCAGAACCGACTCCACGTCACACCACCACCACCTGGACTGCTAGCCACAATGTTTGTGGTTCAAATCCACCAACCGCTTCTCGAAAACCCTACACCCTACACAGGGTCACTATGAGTCGCAAACGACTCGACAGCACTTAACAACAGAAACCAATATAAAAATCATTTTGTTAAGAACCGTTTTTAATACTTTAATAACCATAAGAACATCATCATTCAGGCAAATTTTAAAAAGCAAGAAAAATGAGTTTCTCCACTTAAATAAATGGAGTCCTGCTGTCCGCAACGTCGGCGGTTCAAGCTCACCAGCCGCCCCTCAGAAACCCTACACACGGCCGCTATGGCTCGGCGGCACATAACAAAAACAACAGCTTATTGCCCTTCTTATTTCTCTACAGAGAAACGAAAGACTTATTTTATAAGGAAGTTCTTCCAGCCTCTCCCAGGAAAGAATACCACACTCAGCGAGAAGTTCTCTTCTGGTGGTTGGGACTCAGTCAGCCTGATAGAAACATCTGGACTAGTAGACATCCGGAACTAGACAGGGTGGAGGGTGTAAGGAGGCCCGGGTCAGGGCCGGGATGTTGTACTCGGGCGGGAAGCAGTAAGGACTGAAGAGCCTTAAGGCCAGCTCTACTCAAAGTCCCGCGCCACATCCAGAATCAGATCACAAAAACAGTCCAGTCTCTCAAAGCTCTGGGTCTGGGGGAAAAAGACTGGGGCTGCAAGATCGTACCTGCCAAGATATACCGCAGACACAATGCTCTTCGCTTGACTCCCTCTTCGGGTCCCGATGCAGTAATTCTCTACCCTCGCCAACGAGAAATGTGAGCACAGCGTTTAATGCCTCTCCTGGCCTGAGAGCTAAGGCCCGTCCTTCCCAATACCCAGAGACACATAGGAAGGTACCAGCGGGTCTAGAAAACGTTAGTTTCACATACCACATTCAAAATCGCTCTTTCGGGCTTCCGGGAAAGAGAAGGAATCCCAGCATGCATCGTTTCAAGTCGGAAAGGGCTGTAGTGCATTCTGGGATTCGTAGTCTCTGTTTTTTTGTTTTGTTTTGTTTTTAAATTATTATTTCATTTATTTTGCTGTTGTTAAGAAAATACAAAGCAAAATATACACCAAGTCATCAGTTTGTGCATGTACAATTCAGTGACGTTGATTACATTCCTGGAGTTGTGCAAACATTCTCATCCTTTATTGAGTTATTCTTACCCCATTTATATAAACTCACTGCTGCCTAACATTCCTGTCTAAACTTTTGAGTAGTTGTTCATTTGATTCCATATCCACTACCCAATGCCATCAAGTTGATTCCAACTCATAGAGACCCTATATAGGATTTCTGAGACTGTAAATCTATACAGAAGCAGAAAGCCTCATCTTTCTCCCACAGACAGGCTGTTGGGTTTCAACAGCTAACCCTGTGGTTCGCAGTCCAATACTTCGACTACAGTGTTACCAGGGCTTCTTATGTTGTTGTTGTTGTTGTTGTTAAGTGCCATCGAGTCTGTTCAAACCCACAGCCACCCTGCATAGGGTCTCCAAGGTGCAGCTGGTGGGCTTGAACTCACAGTACAGTACTGATCCCATAGCGCCACACCAGGAATTCCTGAAAAAGTAGAATGCTCAAGACAGGCTTTTTAAAAAAAAACTAGGTCAGCTAAAGTATTTTTCACGTTTAGAACAACCCCAGGAGACATTTATGTTGTTTAAAACTTATCTCAGGAGTCCTGGTGTGGCAATTTAGGATAAGCACTGGAGTGCTAACTGCAAGGTCAATGGTTCAAGCCCAGCAGCCTCTCTTCAGAGACGCAACACAGGGTCACCGCGGGTCGGAACCAACTTGACAGCACTTAACAACAACAACCACAAAGATTATCTCAGGACAATAGACTCAGGGGTTCATCACCCTCCATGGCTGTAAAAAGCCTGGACTCCATGCGAGTTTTAATAGTTCAGACTGGATCCTGTAGAAGGAATAGCAAGCAGAGGTGTCTTAGCTATAATATCACTGCAACCCAGAGTTTCTCATCATCCAGTAGGAGACAAAGCAATTGTTGCTGAGTCCTTAAGATGACACTACTATTGTCTCAGTATTGTTGTTATGTGCCGTGGAGTCGGTTCCGACTCATAGCGACCCTGTACAGGGTTTCCGAGGCTGTAAATCTTTACGGGAGCAGAAAGCCTCATCTTTCTCCCGTGGAACCGTTGGTAGTTTCGAACTGCTGACCTTGCGGTTCACAGCCCGATTCGTAACCACTACGCTACCAGAGCTCCTTATTGTTTCAGTATGAGCTTGGAAAATTATAGCTGGAGATTAACAGCTTCTCTGCCTGGTACCTGGCCAATTCTGGGGCCTCAGCAGAACATCAGGCACTTGTTGAATGGCCCTCACGGGAGTCAGGTCCCTTAGCAATTTTCCAGGTTTGGAGAGGATGGAGGAGCATCTT